ATTTGAGTAACTGTAGAACACACCACACATAGAACATACTGCAGTGAAACTGTAGAACACACCATACATAGAACATACTGCAGTAACAGTAGAACACACCACACATAGAACATACTGCAGTAACTGTAGAACACACCACACATAGAACATACTGCAGTAACAGTAGAACACACCACACATAGAACATGCTGCAGTAACTGTAGAACACACCACACATAGAACACACTGCAGTAACTGTAGAACACACCACACATAGAACACACTGCAGTAACTTTAGAACACACCACACATAGAACATACTGCAGTAACTTTAGAACACACCACACATAGACACACTACTGCACACCAAACATAGAACACACAGTGAATACTACATAGACACAGTACTGTCCGGCGATTTGAGTAACTTTAGAACACACCACACATAGAACACACTGCAGTAACTTTAGAACACACCACACATAGAACATACTACAGTAACAGTAGAACACACCACACATAGAACATACTGCAGTAACTGTAGAACACACCACACATACAACATACTGCAGGAACAGTAGAACACACCACACATAGAACATACTGCAGTGAATACAACACCGGTGACACCTGTACTGTCCGGCGATTTGAGTAACTTTAGAACACACCACACATAGAACACACTGCAGTAACTGTAGAACACACCACACATAGAACATACTGCAGTAACTGTAGAACACACCACACATAGAACATACTGCAGTGAATACAACACCGGTGACACCTGTACTGTCCGGCGATTTGAGTAACTTTAGAACACACCACACATAGAACATACTGCAGTAACTGTAGAACACACCACACATAGAACATACTGCAGTAACTGTAGAACACACCACACATAGAACACACTGCAGTAACTGTAGAACACACCACACATAGAACATACTGCAGTAACTGTAGAACACACCACACACAGAACATACTACAGTGAATACAACACCGGTGACACCTGTACTGTCCGGATAACTGTTGAACACACTGCACATAGAACACACCCAGCGAGAACACATAACAGGTAGACACACTACAGTAACTGTAGAACACACCCCACATAGAACACACTACAGTAACTGTAGAACACACCACACATAGAACATACTACAGTAACTGTACGACACACCAAACATAGAACATACTGCAGTAACAGTAGAACACACCAAACATAGAACATACTGCAGTGAATACTACACCGGTGACACCTGTACTGTCCGGCGATGTGAGTAACAGTAGAACACACCCCACATAGAACACACTACAGTAACTGTAGAACACACCACACATAGAACACACTACAGTAACTGTAGAACACACCACACATAGAACACACTACAGTAACTGTAGAACACACCACACATAGAACATACTACAGTAACTGTGGAACACACCACACATAGAACATACTGCGGTAACTGTAGAACACACCAACAAGTAGAACATACTGCAGTAACTGTAGAACACCACCAGAACACATAGAACATACTACAGTAACAGTAGAACACACCACACATAGAACATACTACAGTAACTGTGGAACACACCACACATAGAACACACTGCAGTAACTGTAGAACACACCACATAGAACATACTGCAGTGAATACAACACCGGTGACACCTGTACTGTCCGGCGATGTGAGTAACTTTAGAACACACCACACATAGAACATACTGCAGTAACTGTAGAACACACCACACATAGAACATACTGCAGTATCAGTAGAACACACACCACACATAGAACATACTGCAGTAACTGTAGAACACACACCGGTGACACATGAACATGTCCTGCGACATTTTGAGTATCAGTAGAACACACCACACATAGAACACACTACAGTAACTGTAGAACACACCACACATAGAACATACTGCGGTAACAGTAGAACACACCACACATAGAACATACTGCAGTGAATACTACAACACGGTGACACCTGTACTGTCCGACGATTTGAGTAACTTTAGAACACACCACACATAGAACATACTACGGTAACTGTGGAACACACCAAACATAGAACAAACTGCGGTAACAGTAGTGGTGACACCAGCACCTGTCCGGCGATTTGCGGTAACTGTAGAACACACCACACATAGAACATACTACAGTAACTGAACACACAATAAAACATGTTGCGGTAACAGTGGTAGATTACGCGGTGTATTTGAGGGATGGGTACACTGCAGTAACAGTAGAACACACCACACATAGTACATACTGCAGTAACAGTAGAACACACCACACATAGAACATACTGCAGTAACTGTAGAACACACCACACATAGAACATACTGCAGTAACTTTAGAACACACCACACATAGAACACACTGCGGTAACTTTAGAACACACCACACATAGAACACACTGCAGTGACTTGTAGAACACACCACACATAGAACATACTACAGTAACAGTAGAACACACCAAACATATAACATACTACAGTGAATACTACACCGGTGACACCAGTACTGTCCGGCGATTTGAGTAACTTTAGAACACACCACACATAGAACATACTACAGTAACAGTAGAACACACCACACATAGAACATACTACAGTAACTGTAGAACACACCACACATAGAACATACTACAGTAACTGTAGAACACACCACACATAGAACATACTACTACAGTAACAGTAGAACACACCACACATAGAACATACTACGGTAACAGTAGAACACACCACACATAGAACATACTACAGTAACTGTAGAACACACCACACATAGAACATACTACAGTAACAGTAGAACACACCACACATAGAACATACTACAGTAACTGTAGAACACACCAAACATAGAACAAACTACACTGAATACTACAGTGGTGACACCAGTACTGTCCGGCGATGTGAGTAACTTTAGAACACACCACACATAGAACACACTGCAGTAACTGTAGAACACACCACACATAGAACATACTGCAGTAACTGTAGAACACACCACACATACAACATACTGCAGGAACAGTAGAACACACCACACATAGAACATACTGCAGTGAATACAACACCGGTGACACCTGTACTGTCCGGCGATTTGAGTAACTGTAGAACACACCACACATAGAACACACTGCAGTAACTGTAGAACACACCACACATAGAACATACTGCAGTAACAGTAGAACACACCACACATAGAACATACTGCAGTGAATACAACACCGGTGACACCTGTACTGTCCGGCGATTTGAGTAACTTTAGAACACACCACACATAGAACATACTACAGTAACTGTGGAACACACCAAACATAGAACATACTGCAGTAACTGTAGAACACACCACACATAGAACATACTGCAGTGAATACTACACCGGTGACACCTGTACTGTCCGGCGATGTGAGTAACAGTAGAACACACCCCACATAGAAGACTACTACAGTAACTGTAGAACACACCACACATAGAACATACTGCAGTAACTGTAGAACACACCACACATAGAACATACTACAGTAACTGTAGAACACACCACACATAGAACATACTGCAGTAACTGTAGAACACACCACACATAGAACATACTGCAGTGAATACTACACCGGTGACACCTGTACTGTCCGGCGATTTGAGTAACTTTAGAACACACCACACATAGAACATACTGCAGAAACTGTAGAACACACCACACATAGAACATACTGCAGTATCAGTAGAACACACCACACATAGAACATACTACAGTAACTGTAGAACACACCACACATAGAACATACTGCAGTATCAGTAGAACACACCACACATAGAACACACTACAGTAACTGTAGAACACACCACACATAGAACATACTGCAGTATCAGTAGAACACACCACACATAGAACATACTGCAGTGAATACAACACCGGTGACACCTGTACTGTCCGGCGATTTGAGTAACTGTAGAACACACCACACATAGAACATACTGCAGTAACTGTAGAACACACCAAACATAGCACAAACTACAGTGAATACTACAGTGGTGAGTGGTCACACCAGTACTGTCCGGCGATGTGAGTAACTGTAGAACACATCACACATAGAACATACTGCAGTGAATACTTAATAAAACAATATGTTGCTATATACAGGTAGAATTACGCGGTGTATTTGAGGGATGGGTACTGCAGTAACAGTAGAACACACCACACATAGTACATACTGCAGTAACAGTAGAACACACCACACATAGTACATACTGCAGTAACTGTAGAACACACCACACATAGAACATACTGCAGTAGCTGTAGAACACACCACACATAGAACATACTGCAGTAACTGTAGAACACACCAAACATAGAACATACTACAGTAACTGTAGAACACACCAAACATAGAACATACTGCAGTAACTGTAGAACACACCACACATAGAACATACTGCAGTAACTGTAGAACACACCACACATAGAATTACGCTATGAGGGTAACTGTAGAACACACCACACATAGAACATACTACAGTAACTGTAGAACACACCAAACATAGAACATACTATAGTAACTGTAGAACACACCAAACATAGAACAACATACTACACACATAGAACAGTATAACTGAGAACACACCAAACATAGAACATACTACAGTAACTGTAGAACACACCAAATATAGAACATACTGCAGTAACTGTAGAACACACCACACATAGAACATACTGCAGTAACTGTAGTACACACCACACATAGAACACACTGCAGTAACTGTAGAACACACCAAACATAGAACAAACTACAGTGATTACTACACTGGTGACACCTGTACTGTCCGGCGATGTGAGTAACTGTAGAACACATCACACACAGAACATACTGCAGTGAATACTTAATAAAACAATATGGGACTATATACAGGTAGAATCACGCGCTGTATTTGAGGGATGGGTAGTTAGTTTCCTGTTCAAATATCTGGTATCAGTCAAATTTTCATGATTCGCATTCTAACAGCTGTTGAGTCAGGACTGTCTGAGGTCATCATCGGTGTCTGCGTCGGCATCTTCGCCCTGCTGCTCAGCGGCCTTGCTATAGGCTATTTCTGCTACAGGTAGGCTATTACTGCTACAGGTAGGCTATGACTGCTACAGGTAGGCTATTACTGCTACAGGTAGGCTATTTCTGCTACAGGTAGGCTATTACTGCTACAGGTAGGCTATTACTGCTACAGGTAGGCTATTTCTGCTACAGGAAGGCTGTCAGCGACGGTGCAGTCACGATGTTACTTACCATATGTGGTAATATTTGACTTCCTAATGCATCAAAATGTTAGTCTTAAAATTGGCCCTGCGCATAATAGTTATACGTGACGCTGGATGTAAGCTTTATTCTCAATCTTACAATGGTCAGTTGTCATCACAATTAGTGGCGCGTTGCAGTTGTACGTCCGTCAAACATCAAATAGGAAGTTTTGATATATTTCGCTCATGATCGGTCACCAACGCCACTTTGGTGAGCCATGGGAAAATATGTTATTCTATAACTCGTACAAACTATAAGTACTAAGCGCATGTTCCGAAACCACAAACCTTGGAACATTGAACTATTGTTGTCGAGAAATGTCAAGCATGTTCAAATGCATTGCTTTTACATGGAATATATTTGCAGTCAATAATTTACAAATCGAATTACCTAGAGTGTACCAATCTGAAGAGTTTTAATTTGCTGTTTTTTAATATCGTTGAATTTTCAGTTTGACAGCATTACAATATCTGATGCCACCAAGCGTATGCTCAACAACAAAAGTTGTGGCACCCAAATAACGAACAGAATCGTTAACCTCCTTCTGCACACTCGGGTTGATATATGGCTGTAAGGCTAGCAGAGTAACCGGTTTCCTTTAAACCCACTTCAAAACGTCCTGAACATGTTAACTTCTCACTTCAACCGCCCGTCGATAACAAGTAAACTGTACTACCCCCCCCTTCCCCCTTCTCTCGCTCTCATGTCTTTGACATGTCGCTTGATAATGTCAAATAAAGCAAATTTCTAATTTATTAAAATTATTTATTTAACTTATTTCAATTTGTGAACATTTGCACTCTTCCCGTGAGCATTGAAATTACAATTGCTGCAGTTTTCGCTGCCGATGTCTTTACTTGTGTGTGTTTTGCCCTCAGACGTTCACGAGGCCGGTTGGAGAGGGAGAAACACTCCGCCATGGACAAGACCTCCACTGTCCACGACTACACCAGGTCGCCATACACCGTGTACCGCGGATACACTCAGTATCCGTCACCTGTGTTTAACGAGGTCTACGACTTTTACAGTGCAGAAGACAAATTCTCCGACCAATAGAGACATGTTCCGATGTATTCTGGCTCACCTTCTGAGAGTGTATTCACTTCTAGGACTGATAGACGTAATGTATTTATTCCAGTTCTAAAACGTGTTCATATAGACGTATCTGACCACATAGTGTTAACACAGCCGACATTAGACTCTGATGTGACGACATACCAGTGTCCACATCAACCTCCATGTGATGGTCGTACAACTCTTGCAGTTTCTGCAGGCTACATGGTTTAATGAATATGCACAACCTATCTACGCCAGAGAAATATTTCTTCACAATTAACCAGCATTTTTATACAGATTCCTATATGGTGAGCACGTGTGTCATATTCAAATTTCCGTAAACGTGTTTAACATGCTTTATTTACCGGGGGCAACCTAATCGTATGCTTGTATGATGATACCAATGTATGAAGCACTTGACTGTTGACGTCACGCGTTCTTTGTGTTTTGAACTGAGTGGACTGATTGTTGATGGCATGCTTAGCCACTTTGAAACATGTTAGAAAGTAGTGTGTTTTTTTCGATGTTTAACGCCGCACTCAGCCAGAAAATAACATTTGTTTTAATGTGGACCGTAACATGGCTGACAGTGTTCACACGTCCTGCCAGTGTGTGGGTTATCATGCAGATTATCAATTTCATATACATGTGTTGCCAGCATAGTTCATGAATCTCGAGTAATACATTTCAATGGTTTCCTTGAGTTTCTGTGCTAATACGAAAGGCAAACACTAGTTTATGAACACCAGTCGGACAGTGACACCCTTTCCTGGGGTACCTTGCTTGATTGGCTGTGGTCGACCACGTGGACTGTTGCCTGTGGCGTCATTCCTCGTGGCCAGTGTATGTTATATCACATTTACATGGACCTTTTCACAACTAACGCCTTATCGTTCCTACTCTTATGTCTTGGTGAGAGTGTTGTTTGTAAATATACCTTGTTGATTGAGTATGGTAGTCTAAAACATGTATGTCTGTCCGGAATCAATGAATATTAAAAATATGTGCAATTATATTTTGCGTGTCTTTCTCTGCAGCCTTCAGGCGTGTATGTTTATCCACAGCAATATACATGATCCTCGGGCCGTGTATTATACTGAGCTCATGATCACAGAGGGATAACTTCATGGCAACACTGCAATCTGTGTTCACACGTGACCGTCAGAACACCAAAGTTTTGATGCGCAATTTTAACATAGCTGTTCATATACTTAACACACCTATACCTCGTTATGGAAGTGAGATACAGTCATGTTCGTGTCTCCAGTTAATTAGGGCAGAATATGCACGTGAAAAACAGCAACAACATCATCATCCTCCCGTGCTATTCCAAAGAAGCAAATCAATTAGTCGTACGATGGCCATTAACATTCCCTGCAACCTTGATTTCAGTCATCCCCTTTTGTCCCTATTTGAATCACACCATTGCACTGTATATGGTCAGCAAACTGTTACGGTATTTACGGTAAGAAATGAAAGTGTTTTATGGGCATCTGATAGCTGGACTGCCCACAGAAATACGTCTGTATATCATGCTTCCAACAAACACAAAACATCCGTGTGCCGTCCTTTGACCTGAGCGTTAAAAAACTCACGACCTGTAAGTAGGGGGCGAGGCCTCCAGGAATAGATACTGAAAGACGCATTCTATATTTTCATTATGCTTCTTGCAGAACTTTACATGAAGTATGATTATGGCTTTTGCCGTGAGTTTATCATATTTTCTTCTTGCATGTTTCTCACAAGACCTACACCTACATCACCACACCTTCACCTAAGTCACATAATTGGTGGCCCTTTCTGAGCAGGCCAGAGGCATCAATGTTTGAAACTACATCAAGCACTTTTGCTTTACTTGAACAAACAATGAACTGGTCATTCGACAAGAATCTGTTATTTAGATATAACATCATTTGTTTGATAAATATGTCACTCATTCACTCTGCAGCAGTCCTCGGCCTCGGTCGTAGGTTCGAATGTCTGCTTTGCTCCGATTACGAAACTTGGCTATGAAATTCCCCAAAGTTTCGTCAATGGACGGGAAGTCTCCGGTGGAATTCCAACCACACCTTCTTGTACCAGATGGACCGCCTCCGTGGTGTAGTGGTTAGAGCGTCCGCCCGGAGAGCGGAAGGTCGCGGGTTCGATCCCCGGCCGCGTCATACCAAAAGACGTTAAAATATGGTACTTGTTGGTCCCTGTCTGGCGCTCGGCATTAATGGGTACAACAAGGGCTGGTCGGCTCGGAATCAGTATAATGTGTCTGAGTGGGGTATTCATGCTTCACTGTGGCATGGTATCTCAGTAGGCTAGCACTATAAAACCAGCTTAAATCTGGGCTAGTACAAGCAGCCGTACATACACATACATACGCATGCACGTCGTCATATAAGCGAAATGTTCTCAAGCACGACGTTAAAACCCAATTTCACCTCTTATACCAGATGTGCATGCGTACGTGCGTGAGTACGTGTGTGTACTATCTGTTACGTGTAGCGCTGTCCTACTAGGATACCATACGGCAGTGTTGACCTTAATAACCTATCCAGACACGACCGGCTACACATCAAACCTTCCGCTCTCCGAGCAAGACACTATGTGCACCTAACTATAACGGTAGATTCGATGTCGACGTCTCGCTCACCGGTTAAATAACAGTACAGTTGTAGCCGAGGCATGTTGAATGTGTTCTCACATCAGTGAGATCCGTGAAGATCCGGGTTAGAATTGGTCTTCAGCAATCCATGCTTCATGCCCCCTGGCCTGGTTGAAACATGCCATCGTATCCCACTTGCGCTGTTCGACGCTCATGATGTCAATCACTGGAGTGTCCGGTCCAGACTCGATTATTTACAGACCGCCGGCATATAGCTGGAATATTGCTGAGTGCGGCGTTAAACAACCAACCAAGCCATCAGTGGTGAACTAGACATACACTTTGATCCATACTTAGCCAGGCTACACCAGCTGTGTCGCAGTCACCTATTATCTAATAATAATTATAATAATAATAGTCCATTTACCATGCGCATTTCTCCATGCACATTGCATTCTCGAAGCTCCCAAACAATCGGATTATTATTATCCCGGATAAGCCAAGCTGTTAACGTGTTATAGGGTTATAGGGTTATAGTCACATGATTTATCCCACCGGGTACCCATTATCTGCTGGGTGAACAGAGGCAATTTTGAACAAACTCACTTGCCTAAGGTGAGATCACATGTGCTTCGTTGTGGGACAGGACTGAAGTCCTAGAAACTATCAGGAGTCAAGCTGCCAAACACGGTCAGCCACCCAAGGACAGCCGCGCTCGCCGTTGCTTAACTTCACCTGATTGGTGACCTGAGCTAAAATATAAAATAACATACATGCATAAAATATCCAGTATGCACGGGGGTCGATTTCAAATTCAAGGTTTTAGTGTTTCCACACCAAAACAAGGGGAAAAGTAAGTTTACATTTGCCGCGTTTTGACGCTGAAACTGTTTACAATCACACGAAGGCGACTTTTTGGAAAGAAATAGTATGTTTGTATTGTTTTTGCTACATGAGTCCAATATTCTCAAAATCACATATGCGTTTCTTTTTTTTTCTTTTTTTGAAGAGTGTAATATGCATCAGGACTAATTTCATAAACACAGAGAGATAGAAGAACCATACCTCGTGGATTATACTGGGGCGTGGACTGGTGGCACCAAGTGCATCTAACTACAAATATATATACAAATATAAGTACTAATAGAAACTGGGCAGCACGCTGTATACTGCCCGCAACATACATGTGAATGTCAAGAGATACATAACCAACATAGATATAAACAAACATATATGATGAAAAGAATATACTTACTCTCTCATTCTCAGACAGACATAGGACAGTGAAAAGATGACGAGCTGGTGTTTATGTGATTTAAATGGTCTGTACACTTACTGTTCTGGTTAAATCATAGTTTGGTTATACCCGTACTGATTATTCAGATAACATTAGAACATCACGGCACTGTAAGTCATTAGGTGCTGTATACAAATATATAATAATACATATTAAGCTAACCTGTAAGTAAAACTACAGTGGCTTGAGTGGTGTGCAGGGTTTCAGTTTGTTGTGTTCTCGGAACCTACCGACGGTACTTGTAAAGTGCTGAACAGAAGTATTTTACACAAGGCTAATCAGGAGTAATCCGTCTGGAAAAGGAATGACCCAAGCTATACCATCCTACCCCACATCTACCCAAAGGGGGCGGTGGGGTAGCCTAGTGGTTAAAGCGTTGGCTCGTCACGCCGAAGACCCGGGTTCGATTCCCCACATGGGCACAATGTGTTAAGCCCATTTCTGGTGTTCCCCGCCGTGATATTGCTGGAATATTGCTAAAAGCGGCGTAAAACCAAACTCAGTCAGTCTACCCAAAGGCAGTTAAAAGATACTAAAGTTGAATTAAAGACAACTCAACCAAGAACTAAGTAAATAATTATGTTCGTGCTGATGAACCTTACGAAGTCGTTAAGGACGCCATGAGTGAATATGCCAAAGAACGTGGCGTTAAGACCTCCAATACACGGCTGATGAAACATTGGGAAGGGGACGTAATCCAATATACACCAACAGTGTCAAGACGATGTGCGGATATTATATATGACGACGAGTGCTTCTGGCCAGAAAACGTAAACTACAGCGACTGGATTCCAAACAGCGATTGTTAAAATGACGACATTTCTGAAAAGCCAAGACATTGGAGCAAACAAGTAGGGCGTGGTGTGTGTTTGTGTACACTCTCTCAAAAAAGAAACGCAACCCCTATCTAAATATCTGACATCATTTCTAGAATAAAGATGGTGAATGTAAATTAGAATTTTCTTTAAAATACTGTTAATACGTTCCCATCTGATCAGTATAAGCTCCCAAACGGAACCATTTTCACACATGATGACCGTTGTATCCGTGTTATTTGAGAAAGTGCGAAATTGTCATGTACAAAATGCTAAAAGCCTGTTGCACGTGCAAATCGTAAAAAACACAGTTCATGTAGAGGGTTTTAAAAGCACGCGTAGTTTGTAATTTTTCTCTCATAATTTGCTCTGCAAATCAAGTTCGAAAATGCCCCGTTTGAGTACAGCAAATCGAAATATTGCCATTGGTCGCATTGAGGCCGGGGAAAGCTTTGGAACAGTTGCCCGTCATCTAAACGTACACAAAACAACAATCTCACGACTTTGGAATCGTTACACACAGTTCCATGCAATTGAAGATCGTCCCAGGAGCGGTAGACCTAGGATCACCACACCGGCTCAGGATCGCTTTATTCGGCTCAGCCACCTACGTAATCGGCATGCCACACCCACCATCACTGCAACACAGGTGCCAGGTTTGAGGAGAGTATCGGCCCAAACCATCAGGAACCGTTTACATGAGGCAAATTTACGTGCAAGAAGACCAGTTGTTGGGCCCGTCTTGAAACGCCAACATCGACGCCAACGTCTCAGGTGGTGTACTAACGTAAGGAGATGGACCCTAAGAAACTGGAGAAGAGTCTGGTTTAGTGACGAGTCTCGTTTTCTTCTTCAACGACGTGACGGTAGACAACGTGTCTATAGACGAGCAAATGAACGTTTTGCACCGAACTGCGTTCGACAGGTCGACAGATTTGGAGGAGGAAGCATCATGGTATGGGGAGCCATGTCTTACAACCAACGGTCAGACTTGGTCATCATTCGTGGCAATTTGACGGCACAACGGTACATTGATGACGTCTTACAGCCACATCTTCTGCCGATAATCGCCCAACAGAGGGAGTTGTTTCAACATGACAATGCCCGCCCTCATACAGCTCGTGCAACAGTGGCATTCCTACAGAATTCAAACGTCAACGTGATGCCGTGGCCCCTCCAGATCGCCAGACATCAATCCTATCGAACATCTGTGGGACCAGCTGGATCGTCGTGTTCGTGCACGTACACCACAACCGCACACTGGTTGAACTGGCCGCAGCACTCCAGGAAGAGTGGAGAGCAATCCC